CACTGTTGGATTTCTATCCTTTTGGCTGCCGTAATGTACTTTTGTCCTTGGCAATAGGATATCATTGTCTATCAACAAAGACAACACAGTGCGAGGATTATGATGTGATGGGTCAGGAGCTACCACATGCTGCACTCTTTTGCTTGATCGTAGCACACGGACCCACTTAGTATGTTTCTTATCATTTCGTGATCCAGTCAAACCTCTAGATGTTATCCCGCTTCTTGACTTTGGGCGGCTTGTGTTTTGAGCATCTGAATGGGTTTCAACATGTAAACTATCCTTTCTTTTCCTTCGAGCCTTTCTAGTGGTTAGAACATTTATTTCGTGAAGGTCATGATGTTTTTTGGACAGTGAAAAGCAAGAAGACTCTTTAGAACAGTTTTTTTGCTTCTGAAACTCCGTTTTACAAATTGCAGAAGATATTTTTTCACAAGAAAACTGTCCCTCGACTGTTTTACTGTCATTTTCCATTTCCATATCTCTAGAAGTATCAGTGCATGTTCCTTTATCTAAGATGTGTTCGATGGCTTGTCTTAGTGACCAGTATGTCCTCCCCATAGGAGATCGATGGTAAAATTCACGCCTCCTGTTAAATTTTTTATAGCCAAACACCCATCCTAGGGCTGCGAGGTGCTTCCTAGCTCTTAGTGACATATCAGCTTTCTTAATTCCCCTCAATCTCGTCCCGGATCCATGTTTAGACCAGAGATTACTCCATTCCACAATTGCTTCGGGACAATATTCAGGTTTATAAACAACTGCTTCAGAATTAGAAGAACTCAACACTTGAGAGCAACAATAAGGATCCCGAGCCTCTTGTTGCTCAATAAGAGAAGATGAATCACCATGAGAAGTATGCAAACTTTTCTGATTACCTTCAGAGGTTGGAGAAAGGATCCCTCTGTCAGTTCCACAAAAATCTAGACAAACCTGCCGAAGAGAATGGTACAGCTTCCCGTCAGGTGAGGTGTAACGCAGTCTACTTGTGCCTCTATCTTTCATGGGTTCAATTTTCCACCTCTGATGTAAAAGATGCTTCCTCACATCTTTGATTAGAGTACCCGTGGGCTTTTTGTTACCCATCTTTGCGTATTTGATAATGGCATCTGGGCAAAATTCAGGTCCAGGAACCATGTCTGAGCCAGCACATAGCCAACTGCTTTGAATGCATGCTGAACCCGAAGATGACCCATTGATTTTATTGGAATTGGAGTTAGAAAAACCTTCATCACTGGTTATAGAACTGACAGCAGGAATTCCATCCAGGTTAGAAGGTAAGGCAAACAATGCCCGAGGCTTCATACACACAACTGCATCATCTTCACAAGAAAATTTTGGCACGACCCTGTCAAGAGTTGATTCAACAGTAGGACAACTAGGATAAAACAGCAGGCAATCATTTAGCGGGTTATCGACTGGTATCATGGCGTGAGTCTTAACCAGATCTTCTTTCCGATTCATGTTAACATCATTAAAAGGTTTAGCGATCTGCAACGGCTGCTGTGTAGCGTCTGGAATGCCTGTCACCTGGAAAAGATGATTCACCACGACTTTAAGATTATCATCAATTGCCCCTAAAACCAACTCTCTCCACAAAGCTTTCACGGTAGAAGTCCACCCTCGAAGCTTCTCAAAACTCTCTTTCTCTCGCAAGTCATACCAAAGTTGTTTTATGGAAACGGGAATATATTGTTTTTGTTCGTATTCCTCAATCAACACAAGAAACAACCATGTCCCACGTTGCCGCCAAGTCTCATCAACTTCATTCCAATCCTGAGTAACCCTTAGTTTATTGACACTTGCCATAATTTCGTCGCCCAAATCAGGGAAAAATATCCTCCTCTCCTCTGAACCATCGTCGTGATCAAAAATCACACCTTCCCACCAGGCCTCCTGGTAATGCACATCCACACACATTCCGTATGGAAGACCATATTTACCAAACTGAAAGGGTGGTGGTGCTGGCCTGATGAGGCCACGATTGTTACACCGGTCTTCATTGGCACAATCAGGGTCATCAAAGGGAAGTGAGACGCAAGCTTGATCAACAAGATAGTCAGACTCGTCATCATTAAGAATATGATCGTATTTAACTTCATATTTTAAGTTCGGGCCTTGCCTGCGACATGCAATGACAATTCCCGGGTGCCATGAGCCCTGAAATCCATCTTCCTCACTCCTTACCTATAAAATCTCAAAATTAAACATACAAATACATTATCCAAAGTGAAAAAAAAAATACAGATATGAAAAACATTAAATTGTCAAAAATAAGTAAAAGCTGCTCGATAAGTCATTACCAAAATTTACAAAAAAAAAATCACCAGTAGAGAAAATTTCCATATAATAACAGGGTAATAACTTGAGAAGAAAACTAAGAAAAAACCATTACATTAACGGTGTCCCATTTGACTAAAAATTTGGTAGTCTCTAAAGAACCCATAATCAACCCTTGCATGTCTGGAAAAACAAAACATATTGCAAACATTGATGAACAATAACACCGACATAAACCAATAAAAAACCCAATGCAGAACCCATCAAAGCCAAAGCCACCTTAAAACTTGACAACAAATTCAAGAATCAATAAACAATACAAGAAAAATCATAAAAAATAGTCAATCAAAAACAGGCTAGAGAGTGTCAAAACCCTGCAAAAAACCCTTTAAAAAAGGAGTTATTATTTTACCTCTACTTTCTCATTAACAGAAAGCTTTATTTCGTTTCTTTTGCGTTTCCTCATTCTCACAGGTTGTTGTTTCTCCAAGTCCAGTACCATTGAAACAAAATTTTGATGGAAAGTAAAGGCTTAGAAAGTTTTTTTTTTTTGGTTGGCAAGGCCGTCACAGATAGAGAGACAGAAGGGTCCTTGAAAAGGCAGGGAGCTTTTATATGGTTGCCTTGGGCTTGCTTACTCTCTCAACCCTCAAGCCTCAGCCTCACTCTGTAAACTTTTCCTATTCTTTCTCTCCAAGCAACAAAACCAATCTCTCTCCCCCTCTATAAAAGTGGTCTGGTTTGTTGGCATTTAATATTTTGATTTATTAAGATTTATTATGTGTGTGGAGAATATTATTTAATTTCTAGGGCACGTTGACAGTTTCTATATGTGGTTAGGGTTTAAAGAAAGGAAAAGAACGTATAAGGGCCCACAGTATTGTACGGTGTAGTACATTGTTAGCATTTGATTAACGGGTTCTAGTGGTCTACAACAGTCCTCAAGATTTTGTGTGGACCCTTCCCTTTTTTATTTTTTCACTTTTAGGCTTCTGATGCTTGTGATGTGATAATCATGAGTGGGGACAGCAAGGTTGCATGAGTGATTCCACGTTCCACGCACCAGGGATTTGATGGGTGCAATGAGAACACGAATGTGTGTAAACCACTCGAACATTTCTCTTCTTTCTAATTGGTTTCGATAACTAATTAGTGGTCTTTCATAGCTTGTGAAAGGAAATACCAAAAATGTTTTCACTCGTCAAACTCACATCTCCACGCTAGTGAGTTTCTTCGAGTTAACGCAAACTGGGGTGTTATGTTACTTTTAAAATATTTTTTATTTATAAAAATATTAAATTAATATTTTTATTTTATTTTTAATTAATTATTTTTAATATTAGTGTATTAAAATGATCTAAAAATATAAAAATATTAATTTTAAAGTAAAAATAAAATAAAAAAATTTCAAACTTTTTTAAAAATATTTTTAAAATACAAAAATAAACACGAAATTAAACATTCGGATTTGATTCTTGTAATTAGAAAGAAGATGAATTTGCGATGTAGAAACTCCACTTTTGTGCTTATAATTTATATTTTATGATCATAAAATAAAACTGTATGCTTTCGTGTTTTCCTGAGCTCTGTAGCTTCATTTCAGTTATACTAGTTTGATTTCCTGAGTTACGAGACGAGCTTCTTCTTCTTTTTTCGCAACGTAAAAAAATAATGTGAATGCTGATAATAGTTTTTTACAACCATCAAGTAAGGTTTTAACTACTGGTTGAAAAGTTCATACATATCTTCAATAAAATATATTAAGAGTTATGCTAATTAATAAATGATATCAATTTATTGATTCCAATTAAAAATTGAGTTGGGAATCTAAGGTAAAAACATTGATTACTGAAAGAAAAAAAATACTGAATATTTTTTTTCAATTTAAAATTTAAATTGGATCCTTAAAATGTTAATTTGTTTGAATTTTAAAAAATAAATTTTCTTTTACAAAATCTAGTAGTAACTTAACGTTAAAATTTATTTTTAATATCACAAAAAATTTGTATGAAGTCAATCGGAGTAAGACGCTAAAATCAATTTTAAACTAATTTAATATAAAATGATTAATTTAAAAATAAAAAATAAGTGAAAAAAAATCATTAATATCTATTGAAACCCATAAGACTTGTATTTTTTTATGTTGTATATTCATTATATTTTTAATATTATACTGGTTCATGTATTAGTTATTTTAAACATTATTTTATAACTTACAAGCGTTAATTGACAAATCAAATCTACTTTTTTTTAACGAGAAACAAAAGTAGCTAGTAAAAAAAAAACAGAGCTAAAAGAAAAAATTAAGATGGTTTACTATTTAATATTTCCAATATTTTAACATATCGATAAAAAAATATTTATAAAAAAAATATTTTATATATTTTTAAATATAAAATAGTTTTTAAAACATAATACTATATAAAATAAATGTTTAGAAATATAATTACAGTTATTTTTAAAAATATTTTTTATTTAAAAATATATTAAAATAATATATTTTTTTTATTTTTAAAAAATTATTTTTAATATTAATACATTAAAATAATATAAATAAAAAATTTAAATTTAAATAAAAAATAAAAAATAAATTTTTTAAAAATATTTTGAAAACTAATAAAATAATTCCAAAAATAACGTATTTACTGATAAAAATAAAAAAGCTAAACTTATAAATTGAGTTGAAATTGATGTGAACGCAGAGTTGATAAAACGTAACAATGACAGCTCTATGGGCTGTTTTCCGCATGCCTAAGCTACCTGCTAGTGCCAGAGTCATAATTACTTCCTCCTATACTGCTTTGAGTGTTTAATTTGAGAAATTTTTATTACAGGGTTTGATCCACGTGTTAATAACTGCTAACATTACACGCAGGGCTAGGTCCATGTGTCCACGGCATATCTCTTCTCATGAATTGTTTGTATTTTACTATTGTATAAAGAATATAAATAAGATTGGTATAGATGGAATAAAAAGATTGGTATAGATGGAATAAAAATACATAGATGGGTGTATAAATATCTAGTAGCTTTTGAAAACACATATAATAATCTAATAATAGCTTTAGTAATTAATAGAACTATTTTTACTGCAGTAACTGCACCTCTTGCTACATGTAACACTGATTAGATGATAACAGTTTTAGATATTTTTGGTGTTGTTGTAATTGTTATAGTTATAGTTGTGATTTAAAAAGAAAATATTTTATAAAAAATAATTCTAGTTTAGGTTAATTTAGTATTTATGTATATTTGGTTAAAATTATAATTAAAATTAAAATTGAAGAAAAAATAATTTTATGTGTTTAGTTAATAATGTTTTTGAAATTAAGGTTGTAAAGTAATTTAATATATATATATATATATTAATGGTTTTTAATTTAAATATTATAAATTTAACTATTATTATTATATCATAAAATAAATAATATTTTATATAAAATATTTTCTATTATTACATTAAATTATATATAATTTCATTACATATAAAATATATCCAATAATAATTATAATTTTTTTAATTTCTTAAGCGTCCAACAACATTAATTAAAATATAGCTTGGAATAAAATTGAAATTGCGATCAAATTCTGTAAATGTTATATTATCAAGTGATCTTTATCTAATTTATATAATGTTATTAAATAATTTTAAATATTATTTTTTTAAATAAAATAAAAATAAAAAATAATTTTTATTTTTTCTTTTATGGGGCTGAATCCTATTTAATTCATATTGATTTTTAGAACAATCCAATCCGAGTGGAACTAGTCCAACCAGAATAGGGGAGCTAGCTACCCTATTTAGTAATCATGCATTATACTATACTATTTAGTATTTATGCTAATTATATTATTTACTAAACAGTACAATTAACTGTAAAGCAAAAATTAATTGCCTTTTGTTTTCTCTGCGTTTTAAACATAAAGCATTATAGAATACATAAATAATAAATTAGTTGCACCACCTCATTCCCAAACTGCCTCTAACGGCAACAATGGAGGCTCTAGAAAATATTTCAGGGGGGGTGACCAGGTCCCACTGCAAGCCAAAAAGAACCAAATTTTTTTGGTTGGGCTGGGAATTGCAACTGGCACGGCTTGCTTGTCGTGGATCCACTTTTGGTTTTCTAATAAATTTCGATGTCTAAGTCACTGCAAACGAGTTTTGAAGAAATAAAAATAAATTGATAATCTATACATCTAATAAGTGATTTTATTTTCATTACAGGGTAAAAAATAAAAAAATATAAAATTTATTTCATACTTTAATTTAATTTAATTTTTTGTTTTTAAAGTTCTTTTAAATAATCATATATATTTTTTATTTTATTCCACAACTTTCAATTAATTAAGAATTAGAGTTTATATTTTTTCATAATAAATATTTTCAATCTAATAACTCACTCGAGCCATGATTTTTTAAATAAAAAAATTGTAATTTTATTTATTTTTTATTAAGTTATATATTCAAATTTTATGATTTAGAATGTCAATTTAGTGAAATATTTTAAACTGGCTTGATTCTAATTATTAAAATTATAAGTTTCTCAGTTTTTATGTTATTTTTTTATTTCATTTGGCATTTGAACATTATTTATTGCAAATAACAACAACAATTATAATCCAACACTGTGACAAAGCATTTACTTTTTAGGGATATAACTAATATAAGTAAAATTAGTTATCCATATACCAGCACCTTAACGCTCGATGCAAGGGATTTCTTATCATGCAATCCTCTCAGGGACAGAGAATGCCATGGCATTTTTGGCATTTTTCGTTTTAATATTCTGGTTTAGAATATATATATATATTTTGCATGTGTGTGTGCATATATATATATATATATATTTTGCATGTGTGTGTATATAAAGTAAAATTTTCAGGAATATTTTAATTTTTGAAAAATCCGGGAAGATGAAATTAATATCAAAATCGAAGTAGGAACACTGCACTGGGATTTTCTTGGCCGTAAAAGCAAAATAAAAAATCACAATAATAACTATATTCAATACAAAATATATAATTCAGCCCGAATTTACTCCAAAAGCCCTAAAAAAAAGTTATCTAGGCCCACGTACAGGTACAAGAACGAGTCCATCTCAATACAAGGGCTAACAAATCCTCCTCTCTTAAACCATCAAAACCCTCTCACTCTGTCTCGACGTCTTTTCGTGCTAAAACTCAAAACCTTAAAATTCTAGAGAATTTCTCGAGACTCTGCTGTTCTCCTTCTATTTCCTACTTTAGTTCAAACCTCCTCGGAACATCCTTTCCATTAAAATGCAAACGACAAGAAGCACAGAAGTCGAATTAAACAGGTAAAACTCCCCCACTCTTGAAATAAACTTAGCGAATTCTCTATAAACTCTTTTTTGTGGTTTCTGTGTTTAATCATGGTTTTTACTTTCTACAGGTTAATGTTATAATTCTAGTTGTTTGACTTCCTTTCCTGTGGTCATTAGTTGCTGGGGTCTAATGTAAAGAACTGACTTAGACATTTTAGGTGTTTAAAAGCATACATTTCGGCAGCACCGTGTTCGAGCACAAACATTTTAGGTGTAACGCGGAGCATTTTCCGAGGTATATAACCTTTGGTATTGTTGCATGCTTGCAAAGTATGCTGAAACAATAATGAAAGCAGGTATACGTGAAATAGAATGACAGGTTAGATTGTAGAAGCCGACAACCTGTGAAAGATCACAGAAGAATATTAGCATGATTATACAAACGTGTATATTACAAAACTTGAATTGACATGGGTTCAATAGGTTCAAAGTGACAAGGTTCTTCTCATAAGGTGCAGGATTCACAATTTAGAGAGTGACCAAGGGTGTGCGGTGGCTCGTTTACAGTGTAATGCCTAATGAAGAATATTCTTAAGCCTCGAGTTGGGGTTCATATCAAGCTTTTTGAAACAGTTGTTTTTAGGTTTCACTTCTCGATGCTTAATTGCATGCAGTTTTTAGGTCAATGTTATGTAGGGTTTATTTTCTAAATTTATTCAGTTTTCATCATTTTTTTCCTGTGCAGAAACGATTTCAGTAATCACAAATGATGGCCGGAATATAGTGGTGCGCTATTATATTTTTCTAGTACATTCACATGATCTTTTACAATAACATATTAATTGTAAATGGGTCCCTTTTGATTCAGGGAGTCTTAAAAGGCTTCAACCAGGCCACAAATATTATCCTTGATGAATCTCATGAGCGCGTTTACTCCACCAAGGTTTGTATCCTTATCTAGCTTCCAGTTTCATTTTATTCCTTTGCCTATTTGAACCCTAGTGACTAAAGAAAAAAAAAGAATTTGCAGAAACTTAGATGCATGTAGCAGTTAAATAATCCTGGTTTTATATGGCTAAGCTCAATATGGATGTATATGTAGTTTCTCAGGGCATGTTTAATTTCAAGAAGTTTTTTTTTTTTTTTTTGAAATATGATGTTCTCTTCTGTGGTGTAATGCTTCGAAGAGCTAAAGATAACAAACATGTTTGTGTCTTTTTAGCGCCACAGGCCAAATGAATAGTTTGCTTGATTAATTTTGCAGGAAGGTGTTCAACAACTAGTGCTGGGCTTATACAGAATAAGGGGTGACAACATGTAAATGCCATCTTCCATTTTTATTTTATTTTTAATAAATTAATTTGTTTGGGAAGGCTGATACCATGTCAGTTCCCTCTAACAATGTTTTTCTTTTGTTGTTTCTTGCAGAAGCATTGTTGGGGAACTTGATGAAGAGATGGACGCACATCTTGACTTGTCAGGTCTGAGAGCTCATCCACTCAAGCCCGTCATCCATTGATCTGATAGGAGGGAAGGAAACGGCATCTTCATAGAACACATGAAGGGTTAAGTACTTGCGAAAGAAAATGTGTATGAAGACTGGTGTGCTTAATGACGACTAATTTATTGTTCTAATTGTCACCGTAGCAAAATATCATCAAATTATTTGTTTTTATGTTTTATAAAGTAAGGTGTTTTGGAAAAAAATTAAATATTTTTTTATTTATTTTGCTTTAAATTATTTTTTTATATTTTTAGATGGTTCTGAATATTTTTTTATTTATTTTGCTTTAAATTTTTATTTTTTTTATTTTTAGATGGTTCTGATACATTAATATTAAAAATAAATTTTGAAAAATAAAAAATATTATTTTAATAATTTTTTAAAAAACAATTATTATTACAAATATAATGCTGCATAATTCCTCTATCGACTCTTCAGCTGCATGAAGTGTTATTCAGCGGGGATCAATTTTTTTTTCCTTTGAAATTTCTTTTCAAAAATTTCAATTGCTTTATTTACTGTCAAGCATGGGATCCCTTTGCATTCCATCTCGACGGATGGCTGAAGAAACTCACAGATAGTCAATTAATCTTAAATATCTCAAGAAAAAAAAAAAACTCTAGTCTCTCTTGCGGGAAAACCTGCCAAGGATTGTTGGTTTTATATATACTCTTATTTATTCCATTGCTGAAGCCCAGGCCCATATAAGTTGTTTCAATTTTTCAGAACCCTTCTTTCGAAAACAAAAATGTATTCTGCGTGTCGTTTTTTCGTAATGCAAACGACATGTCGTCTTTCGTTAGCGAAAAATAAAAAGTAAATACTACTTCTAATAGATGATGTGCCCTGCATATCGCGCTCGCTGTTTATGCTGAAGCTGAAATAATGGCCAACACCAATCCCTCACAGCTCCTTCCGTCAGGTCAGCTCCATTTTTGTTTCTTCTTTACGAGTTTTGCACTCTTTTTTAATTTTCTTGAAAAAAATCATTAGTAACAAAAATGACTTTGGATTTTTTTTTTCCTTTTCTTAAAAAACAGAGCTAATAGACAGGTGCATAGGCTCGAAAATATGGGTCATAATGAAAGGAGACAAGGAGCTTGTTGGTACTCTCAGGGGTTTTGACGTCTATGTCAACATGGTCCTTGAAGACGTTACTGAATAGTAAGTCATAATGAACTCTCTCTGTCTGTTTTCCTTTCTTTCCCTTTTCTTTTAGGGTTTTAATAAATGCATGCAAAACTCCACTTTTTGTTGAAATTTGAATGGTTTTTTTTTTTTTTTCACTCAATGTTTCTTTACTCTGGTAATTTTGTTGTTTAATGTCATGGCTTTTTTTATTTTTTACAATGATAATGATGGGCAAGAATTTTGGGTATCTTGAATAAATTGCTGCCTTTCATAAGGACAGGTTCTTGGATTACGGTCTATGCGATTGCTAGCATCATTGTCTTTGATTGCTATACTGAGCTGTATTTGTATGTGACTGGTGTAAGGCTTGGTTGTAAAATTTTATTGTGCTTTTATTTTTTCCAAATTGAAGTAAAATTGTAATCACGGTGGTCAGTGATTGTATGGAGGAATTGATGTTATACTTCGGTAACGTTTACTGCTTGATGCTGATCGAGTGATGGAGTCTTGTGGGTGGTCCCTGCGTTGTGGCTGCACATTTTGTCTGCAACTTCTCTTTCTTGCAAGCCATTAGCGAGTGACTTTATATGGAGATTAGAGTACTTTCCATCCCATATATTCACTGAAACATCATCTTATGCAATACATTGCTGAAAGACTGCTTGTTTTTTAACTTGCTTTAATTTGCTTCTTTATCAATGTTGTAGTGAAATTACAGCTGAAGGGCGACGCATAACCAAGCTTGATCAGATATTGCTGAATGGAAATAACATTGCCATTGTAAGTATGATTGCCTATGGCTTATTTTAATTCTAGTCCAAGCCCATCAAATTACAGCTGTGTTCAGCGTTCCAGTATTTGGCATTTCTTTTTACTTGTGTTTTATGATTTTATTGGTGAGTTACCCTTGTTCTCTCGAGATCCTGGAAAAAGGACACAAGGTGAATTGGAGAGGTCTAGATTGTGTTTTACTTTTTTGAAATTTGTAGTTCTCAAGATATGTGGATTTTCTAATTTTAGTTTGCAATACAGCTGGTTCCTGGTGGTTCCCCTGATCCAGAATGAAAGCACGTGGATGCTTGCATAACTTATTTTTCCTTTTGATGTAACTGTGGCAGATAACTTCTTCTTTTTTTATTGAGAAGTTCATTTGTTAGGAATTCCACTTCCATCTTTGTGCTTTCCTGCAGAAATGTAGCTGAAATATTATGGTTGTAAATGATTTTCTTTGTCTAATGAACCGTATTATCGGGAGATTTGCTCTCGTCTTTTCTTTTCTTCTCTAGTTCTTGTTTAGTTGTTTAAGATTAATTCAGCTCTAAATATAGATATACTACTAGGGGCTAGAATGGTTCAGATATGGCATGAGATACGGTGAGTCAAGGGAAATGAGAAATAGGTTGAATACTCGAGGCTGAACTGGACAGCCCTTACTCTGGTGGATATATAGAGAACATGGTTATTTAAATCCATTGATTGCGATGCCATGATTTTAAACTATCAGCTTGTTAATGTCAGTGACATTATTACGGGTAAGCTACCTTGTAAGCATCCATGATGTGGAATGATATCAGCTTGTTAATGTCAGTGACATTATCACGGGTAAGCTACCTTGTAAGCATCCATGGTGTGGAATGATAATGGCTAATATTTCCTTTCATTTGTGATGATATATTCGTCTATTCCTCTGTTTTTCTTTGGAGTTATTAAATGAATGGTTATCTTGTTTTCATACGTTGTGAGGCCAAATATGAGCCTGATAGCAGCACGCCCAGCAAATCGGGTGAGAGGAAACCAATTGGAGAGTCCTGAATAGTGAGATTTGGCTAACATCCTCGTCCCATTTCTGTAAGCCACCCCCAGCCCTTTCGTTTGGAAATCGGAATGGGCCAGAATCCCTTGTCATTTCTTGTACAGTAAATGGCATTATTTTGTTCAAGGATGATAACAATCATTGGAAAATCAGAATACAATTTACTTTATCTTCTTTGGTAATACGAAGACTTATAAATCTTGTTTCTGAATCAAAACCAAAGGCAATCTCGGCTCTACGAGGAAGTCTTGTTACGAACAAGAACCAGAGTATGATGCGACATGTACCTAAAGCCCAGTAATAAACCGAGGCTGTATAGACGTTAATTAGAGTCAAGGAAAATATATTTCTTATATCAGTCCAACTATGGCTATGAATGACTAATCTTAACATGGTTTTTGAATGACTTGTTGAAGGGGAGGCGTGGAGGACACCTAATCTTAACATGGTCCTCTTCAAAAAGTACAAAACCCTTGCCCCCCAAGGAGTCAAATTTCTCAGGCAGCTTTTTATTCCTCTGCAAGTAATCTACCTAGAATAAATAAGAAATGTAGCTTTCATCTTCTTTTTGTTCCTATCTGCCTACCCTAGCTTGCAGGAGATCAAGTAAGCTCTTTCACTCCATAAATGTTTTTCACATCAGTTCTTCTTTTTTATTTTCCTATTTCCTTTTTGTGAGTTTTGGGCTTCGAACTGGTTTTGGTTCTTGTTTTCATGCTTCAAATTTTGTCTTTAATGTTAAACTGTTTCTCTGGTTTCAATTCTTGAAGAAGATCATTATGTCATGCTAGTATGACTGGAAACCACGACATGTCAATATTACTTCCTTTTCTTGTAACTTCTCCTGATCGTAAGACTTTAGAAGTGAAATGCATTCATCTTTGATTCAATCAATATAACGAGAAACCATGAGTTGAATGATATCTTCCTTTTGTGATGGTGGCATAGTTGTTAAACTCATATGAACTTGACTGGTAAAGTAAGTCCTGGTTATGGATTGGAAAAAAGTCAAAAGCTAGTCGTTTTGGAGAAATCTTACACTCAATGTTCATCTATTAATCTTAACTGATGTAAAGTGTGAATTAGGCATTCTAATTTTGTCGAGCTTGAGCTTGAATATCGGAGCTTGGTTCAGGAACCTGATAGTTCACTGTTAATGGGTTATAAATTTCTTGTCTCGTAATCGTTTGATGTAATTGTCTTTGGATTTACAAGTCGACACATTTAACTATGAAATATCAAAGAAGGTCCTTGCTCATGGTTCTATTTGGTTATTCTTGTGAATATACAATTCAATTGCAAATTGCCATTTTGAAAATGAGAGTTTTTATCATGCTCACTTGTGCTTTCATACTTTGTTGGTTACAGGCATATTAGAAACTAAGAGCTTTTTGAAAGCGAGCAACATGGCAAAGCATCATCCAGATTTGATTATGTGTCGGAAGCAGCCAGGAATTGCCATTGGAAGACTTTGTGAGAAAGATGATGGGAAATGTGTCATCTGCGACTCCCTGGTGCATCCTTGCACACTTGTGCGAATTTGTGATGAGTGCAATTATGGATCCTTCCAAGGTCGATGTGTTATCTGTGGAGGAGTGGGAATTTCTGATGCTTACTATTGCAAAGAGTGCACACAGCTGGAGAAAGATAGGGATGGATGTCCAAAAATCGTTAATTTAGGGAGTTCGAAGACAGATCTGTTTTATGAACGTAAGAAATATGGTTTTAAAAAAAGATGATAAGCAGCGAGTTACATCTCTAGTGGTTTTTCTCTGCCATTGTTAACCTGAATTTCCCGAGACACAAACAAAATTGATGGACAATGTTGTAGTTCTTGAATTGTATTACTGATTGTTACTGCCAGTCATTGCGAAACGCTATTGATTATGTTGCCTTTTATCCAATTGACTTGGATCGTACTATAGAGATGCCTAGTATTAATTTTTTCTCCTTTTGTGCTCTCTGCTTACTTCAAATCCCATGTTTATGGTCCAATGGACTTGCATTGTGTGAGGATCTGAATTTAGTTTCAAATATTGCTCGTGCTTGGCAGCCTAGTCTTGGCTACAACTGTTGAAAGCTTTGATTTGTGATGGTAGATTTTATCCTTTCCTCCCTTTCCTGGTGTTTGAGGGGTGCTTCTTAGAAGTGGCAAGATGAATCTAAATTTCTGATGCTGAAAATTTGATTTTCACTTTGTTGAAGTGAAAATGCGCCTTATAGTCTTCCGCACAAACAAACATATTTTTAGAATGTTTTTAGTAATTACGATAGTTTTTTTAATTATAAAATGAAAATATCAGGTCTTTAAAAATATAAATATTATAAATATTTTTAAATTTGATTTTTTATCACAATTTAAGATTAAAAACAAGTTTAAGTAATGAAAATCAAATAATCTTTGAAGTTATAATCAACCAAAAAATATCTTCAATCCCACTACATCAATTTTAAATCATGTTTGATCTTCAATCCCACTACATCAATTTTAAATAATGTTTGATTTTTAATTTTTTATTTGAAATTATTTTTTTTATTTTTTAATTATTTTAATTTTCTAGTATTAAAAATAAAAAAATATATTATTTTTATATATTTTTAAACTGGAGTACTTTAAAAATTAACGTCTATTAAAATATCAAATAGACTATTAGAAATGTCAAAAATATATTATTTTTATATATTTTTAAACTAGGAATATTTTAAAAATTAACATCTATTAAAATATCAAATACACTATTAGAAATGTAAACAGAGGCTTGCGAATGCTGGCCCAAAATGGGGAATCACGCGGAATGGACGAATAGAAAGTTTTGGTAAGTACAGTTTTGAGATTGTGACGCTTAGCTTGGTTGCATGTCCTTGTGAAAGACATCCCGTTCATTTATTAAAAAGTAGAGTAAATTAAACGACTCCATGTGTTCTTCCGTTCAGCATGGTCGTTCGCTATGTCTTCTTCAATGGCAGCAAATCACAGTCGAACAGGCTAATCAATGGGACGAAAAGTTCACCACTAGATGTGATTAAGAGAAGTACCTTCTCTTTCCAACTTCCAGAGGACCTCCACTATTGAAGGGAAAAAAAAAGGAATTTACTTTTTTTAGCCTAACTATAAATGCTCAATTTTACAATTTATATGAAATTTTTTTGATAACCTCGTCAAAACAATCCTATTTTTATAATTTTTTTGTATATTTATATTATATTGATATGGAGAGTTTTAATAAATTCTAATTTAATTAATAAAAAATACTTGTAAACTATTTAAATTAACTCTAGCTACCATATTTGAGCTTAACTTTTTTCTAAAATGCTTGATAACTCGAGTTAATGATAAAAATGTTGTTAAACATCATTAATATTAGGTATAAACCACAACATTCATGTGAGTTTCGACTATTATATCCAAGTCCAATATATTTAATTCTTGACAACATGTTTAGATTTATTTTTTACTACTAATGAGTTTAAAAATATTACTTGGACCCAATATTGTTTGGAAATTTTTTTCAAAACCTCATGTAAGTCTTTCAATATTTTACATTAATATAATATATATTATTTTGAATAAAATATAATTCAAAATATTATAAAAATAAAGTATTTTAGCTTGATATAGTATTTTAACTTATTTTTTTTTTTAATAATAAATTCTAATTTAATTAATAAAAAAATACCTGTAAACTATTTAAATTAACTCTAGCTATTATATTTGAGCTTAACTTTTTCTAAAATGTTTAGGCTTGAGCATGATAACTCGAATTAATGATAAAAATATTATTGAATATCATTGATATTAGATATAAACCACAACATTCATATGAGTTTCGACTATCATATTTGAGCCTAATATACTTAAACCTTGACAACATGTTTAGATTTATTTTTTACCACTAATGAGTTTAAAAATATTACTTAGACCCAATATTATTTGGAAATTTTTTTCAAAACCTCATATAAGTCTTTCAATATTTTACATTTTACATTGATATAATATATACTATTTTAAATAAAATATAATTCAAAATATCATATAAAAATAAAGTATTTTAGCTTGTATAGTATTTTAGCTTACTCTCTTTTTTTTTTTAAAAAAAAGATTTGTCAGCTATATAAATACTCATAAATCTTTCATGTTCATGAATTCTTTATTTTTAATATTTCTAATATATATATTTTAAGAGTTTATTTATCTAAAATATCATTATATTTTCTTTAAAAATAATTATTTAAATATATGAAAATTTTTAAATTTATCAAAATAAGACCTTTTCTTGCACTATACATCAATTATATTAATTTTCTATGCACAAGTCATCAATCACTCTGACTATAAAAAATAAATTAAATTATTAAAATAAAAAATTAACTAATTATCTATTACATAAACATTACATAAATTTTGAAGTTCTTCTACTACAATTTTATCTATGACTAGGCATGATATTAACCTTCTAGCGCACGAAATACATATTTATTATAACTATATTCTAAAAAAAAAAGGGATTGATTTTATATATATAACACCGAGACTTTAAATTATCACTACCTTAGGACGAAAATACGTTTAAAAAAAAAACATCGAGAGATTCAATATTACCCTCAAACATCTAGGGCCAAACGTGTCACAAACAGAACAGTGTCCTTCCCTAGTTCTCTGTTTTGAATTTGGACACATGTTTATATAGGCAAATTAATGAAATAAAAAAAATGATATAATTGTTTTGAAATATAAAAAAATATTTGTTGATAGGATTTGGAGATTTTTATATATATATATATAAGGCCTTATTTGTTTTCAGTAAACCACTTTTACTATTTTTTTATATATTTGATCAATTAAAAAAATAATTTCCCTTCAAAGAAAAAGTTAAGCCTTTACAAGAGGAAAGTGCTTTCCTTTTTGTATCTTTGGAAAATATTTTCATTTTTTTACAAAGAAAACATCTGATAAAAAAATATTTTAAGATATCTTTGGAAAATATTTTCATTTTTTTATAAAAAAAACATCTCATAAAAAAATATTTTAAAATTAAAAAAATATGAATAGATTTTAGTTTTACAAGATTATATATCTATAATATTATATTTAGAATATTTATGTTATATATATAGCTATATTTTATAAAAATAAGCTATATAATCTAATAATAAAAATCACTATCACACTTTTTATATCTCATTAAATGATCAAATAGTTATATATTTTTTTATTCTTTTTTCAACTTACCTTTTGTGATGTTGCTAAAGATTAGAAAATAATTTGTTTTTTTAAAATTTACTTTTTATAAAAAGTATTTTTCAATAAACAAAAAATGATCCTAAAATAATATCATCAAACATAATAATATTATTATCAAAATGGATTTAATTATATAAAAAGGAGTTGTGTGTTCTCAATTAACTAAATGAAAATGAATCACAATTTAATATAATCAAACCTACCATTAACTGTCTCTCGTTTAATTAATTAATCACATAATACTAATTTTTATACGAGAAAAAAATCCATCACAACTACAACCAAGTAAAAAACCCAGGACTTTAAAATTCCCAGAATTCTTGAAATCCCTAGCGTTTCTTTTCAACACGTGATGAAGACGACACTTCGTTTATGGTTCCAACCCGCCGACATTTCATTTGTATTTATTGGGCAGACACTAGTTAGAGCCCAGGCCCATCTTCGCAGTCGGCTTAGAATTAAAGTTCGTGTCGTTTCTCGAGTGTTCATTCTCTTATAAGCCCATCTACAAACTCCCAAACAGAAAGTGTTCTCTCGCTCCCTCTCTGCAAAAAGAGAAGCAACAGTCTCAAATCGATTCCAGCAGGTACGTACATGTCTTTCTGCTTTACTATATTTTACACTTGATTTTTTTTTTTTTGTTTTATATCAGACTTGGTGTTTCGATATTTGGTGTGTTTGGTTTCTTTGCTTTGTAGTGTGGGTTGGTTGTCACAGGTTCTAATTATAAGCTTAGGTTTTTATCTGGGTGGGGTTCTCATAGGAGCACTTGTCTTAATAAAAGAGGACTTTGTTGTCTATTAGAAGCACGAAATAGCACTTGTCATCTCAAGCTTCTTTTCTGAAAAGCTGACATTTTCAGTCTTGGAAGTCCCCAATCAAACATGAGCTTCTTCAATTTAATTAAAAGGATAATTTAGTTAAGTTTGACCCTCAAAACTGGCACTAGGTTCATTAGCCTGATAATTCCTGCTAAGGAAAAGCATGGATCTGCTGTTCTATTTCCAGGTCATATAATGTATTCCATTGCTTCTGCTTGTAGCTGATCATAGAAAGTTGGCATGAATGTGTGAGTATACTTATGGAGTCTATTGTTTTAGGATGACCCTTATGAAATTTGATTCATTTTGTGTCATTTTTTTTATTTAATTTGTATCATATATGCTAAATATGAGGCATTGGAATTGTATCGGTTTCTCAGAAAGAGGAAAGAAGAAGATGTTTGCGCGCTGGTGCCGTTAGTTGTTGCTATGAGCATACATAGTGCGCGAATTGTAGTTATGAATATGAGGCGAGATGTTATTTTTTTTACCAAAATGTAATCTACCCCATGCTTTGACATATGTTTACAGTTGTGGTTGTCTCAGGTGCAAGTAGCAACACTAAGATCTTGAAGAAATCATGGCGAAGCATCATCCTGATTTGATCATGTGCCGGAAGCAGCCAGGAATTGCTATTGGACGCCTTTGCGAGAAGTGCGATGGAAAATGTGTAATCTGCGACTCCTATGTGCGTCCTTACACACTTGTGCGAGTATGTGATGAGTGCAACTATGGATCCTACCAAGGCTGATGTGTTATTTGTGGAGGAGTGGGAATCTCAGATGCCTACTATTGCAAAGAGTGCACTCAACAGGAGAAGGATAGGGATGGGTGTCCAAAAAGTGTTAATTTAGGGAGTGCCAAAACAGATTTGTTCTATGAACGTAAGAAATATGGTTTTAAGAAAAGATGATGAGCAGTGGGTCACATCTTTAGTGCTTTTTTCCCCTCACTGGTGCACTCAATCTAAAATGTCGAAACTAGTTATTAAGTCTTGAGTTGTATCTGCTGATATTACCCCTAGTCGTTTTGAAAACAATATTGATTACTGAATTTGTCGCTTAATGCAATGGACCTGGATTGTATTGGAGCCATATCTAGCCTTTTATGATGTCATGAATTCTATCTTCTTGTTTATAATCTAATTGACTTGGATTTATTTCCAGGCATGTTGGCAATTAGTAATGCCCCTCTGTCCTAGCAGTATGTTTCATTCACTAATGTTATCATTTGTTCAAGTTGATAACGTGAAGTTCTTGGCTCGAGTTGTGAGCAATGGTAATTTCTTTACCGGGCCTCTGCGGTTTTATATCATGTTGTAATGTGGATTAGGTTGTGTTTGTCGTTACTATAAGTTTTTTGGCCTTCTGCAGGGATTAATGTTGCTGGTAGTGCCATTTTCTGTTTGCTTAATAGTATTTTCTCAGGTGACCATCATGTTCGTGAGTGTTACGATTTGTCATGTCTGTCGACCTTCGATGATTAGACTACGACATCTACATTGCTGGGAACGCGGGTCTTTTCTGGATCCAACTTTTTGGTTGTCTACCTGCAACCTTTACGGTCAGCATCGTAATTCATAAAGCAGCGGGTAGAGCGGGGATGTTGACTTTAAAGGAAAGGGATGGTTTTAAAAACCTAAAAAAATAAGTTTTTTTTGGGTTAATATGGATGCTGGGATCAGTTTTTTTTTGGTTAACATGGATGCTGGGATCAATTTGTGTGTATTATGATTAATTTTTGTATCATGATTAATTTTATAGTCTATTAAATATTTTGTAAGCTCAATAAACAAATAAAATACCATGAGATAACAAACATATCACATAAAAAAAATCTAGTAGAAACATGAAGAGAAACTATATCAACCCCACTCCCATTGTTACTCGATTCATTTGCCTTGATTGTAAGCTCAATAAACAAATAAAATACCGCGAGATAACAAACATATTATATCATGATTAATTTTTGTATCATGATTAATTTTATAGTCTATTAAATATTTTGTAAGCTCAATAAACAAATAAAATACCGCGAGATAACAAACATATTATATCATGATTATTTTTAAATAAGTAAAGTATCACGAGGTGACAAGCATACCACACGGAAAAGATATAAAATAAGTAAAGTATCGCGAGGTGACAAACATACCACACATAAAAGATATAGTAAAATTCATTAAATATCCTGCAAGTCCAGTAAATAAGTAAAGTATCACGAGGTGACAAATATACCACACAGAAAAGATATAAAATAAGTAAAGTATACCACACTGAAAAGATATAATAAAAACATGAAGGGAACGAAACAACAGGAAGGGAACAACTGTGCCAACCCTACTCCCAGGAACTCGATTCATTTGCCTTATCGTTGATCTGTGGGCAGAGAATCTAGTGTTTTTCATTGTTCTGCAAGTGGAAACTTGGAGCCTCTTGCACCACTAGGACGTTGAACTGCATTTGAATTGCACTTGCATTCACGGTCCAAAACTGCCGAGATGTCGGTCGTTGCGTATGTACTGGTTTGGATGCTGCCTGCACTCCATGATGATAGTGCCACTAGTCGTGGCCCTAATCAGATGACGCCTTTGCATGATTGTATTGACTTTGACACAGTAACATAAATCCATTCTGCCATTCCTTGTTTTTTATTTTTTTATCAATGTGTTTCTCAATTACTCTTATTTAAAATTAATAATTATGTAAATTTTTAATAGTTTTAAAGTAATTCAAACTTATAATTATTAAAAAATAAATCAAATACCTAACTAGTTAAGCTCCCTCTTGATTTACCATTCTTTTTTTTTAGATTAATGAGTAACATAAATCCATTCTGCCATTCCTTGTTTTTTATTTTTTTATCAATGTGTTTCTCAATTACTCTTATTTAAAATTAATAATTATGTAAATTTTTAATAGTTTTAAAGTAATTCAAACTTATAATTATTAAAAAATAAATCAAATACCTAACTAGCTAAGCTCCCTCTTGATTTACCATTCTTTGCTATACAACTGATGTCTTCAACACAAGACAGTGCGGAGTGTCATGTTCGGGCATGCAATGGAGGGGTTTGAAGCTTTGCACAAATGGTCCAATTTTTTTTTTATCTATAAATGTGAAGGTCCTTTTGCGGGTGAGGGATGCCTTGTCTGTATTTTTCTTTGTTTTTAACTGTGATGGTAGTTTTAGGTTAGTTTATACTTCAACTTAGATACAATTGTACATTAATTACTGTATGCTAATCTTTTTTGTTCTAAAGTTCGTAGCTCTTTGATGGCCTGTCTTTCAGACAGCTCAGACACATTTTCGAAACTTGGATACTCCACCACCACAGATAAAATCTTACAACTGATTGATGTATCTCTCTCTCTCTCTCTCTCTCTGCAGATTCTAGTGCTCCTTACTGCGCAACCAAGAGAAATTAATTACTGTATGCTAATCTTTTTTTGTTCGAAAGTCCGTAGCTCTTTGTTGACCTGTCCTTGAGACAACTCAAGACACATTTTCGAAACATATCTTAGATACTCCACCGCCACAGATAAAATCTTACAACTGATTGACGTATCTCTCTCTCTCTCTCTCTCTGCAGATTCTAGTGCTCCTTACTGCGCAACCAAGAGAAATTAACTACTGTATGCTAATCTTTTTTTGTTCGAAAGTCCGTAGCTCTTTGTTGACCTGTCCTTGAGACAACTCAAGACACATTTTCGAAACATATCTTAGATACTCCACCGCCACAGATAAAATCTTACAACTGATTGGCGTATCTCTCTCTCTCTCTCTCTCTGCAGATTCTAGTGCTCCTTACTGCGCAACCAAGAGAAATTAATTAAGCACTGCCATGATTAAAGAAAACACGTTGACATGAACAGATTGCTCCATCTGCGGCCAATTCTGCGCATTTAGGCTTATCTACAAACTCTTTATGAAGTGAAATGCGAGTTCAGGGCTTGAAATTACTAGAAAAGGAAACAACACGAACCGATTGAGTTGTATATGCCATGCTCCAGTAAAAATGCTGCCTACATCATGGAACCAATTGAATAATGTATAAATTCAGAGAAGAGCATTGCAGTGATTTGACATATAAAATCCAGTTATGAAAATACAATATTTGTTCTGCTTACGTTGATTGATATTGTTGCAGTAGTTATTTTTTAAAGTATTAGATATTTAAAAATAATTTAAAATAATTTAAAAATATTAAAAATAATTAATTTTTTAAAAAAATAAAAAAATAAAGTTTCATCCACAACGCCAAAAACACGATAAAAACAAGATTATACTACTTCTTTTGATCCAAAACCACTGTGTTGAAAGAATCATACTTGCTTTTAAAATGAAATCAATGGCAGACTCTTTCATTTCGTACGACGTCTTAGAAATACTTTGAATAGATACAATTGTTAAATTTTAACCGTGTGGATGTTCTTACAACTAATTTTAGTAAATGAGTTTCTTTTCAGAGAATCTTTACAACGTATGCGAGTGCATAAGGTGGAGTTTACACATCACGTGTTGCCCTGATTAAGATTGGAGAAATATGTTAATTGCACACTCGATTTATGCGAATAATTTTAATTGCTTTCAAAGCTGTTTTCGCTCACAAATCACATTGATAGCAATGAAACTATCAAAGTCAAACCTTTGCTTCAAAACAGAGTTATACAAATTACAATAATGGTTTATTTTTTTTAAATTTTTTTTGGTGGTGCTAAATTCACGATCAATACATCAAATTGTGCCTTTTTTAGAAATACTCTCGGTTACCTCCAAGGTTTCCACAAATGTACCACACGATTTGAGGTTTTTATTTTTATTTTTTTATGTTAAGGTTAAATCTATGTATTTTTTTTTATTGAATTAATTGAAGACATAAAAATGGCATCGAGAATGAAAAAATAATGATAATTTCATTTTTGATGACTTTAATTTGATGTTTACATCAAGTGATTAAAGAAGGAATGTTGAGTTGGTGCTATTGAAACTTTGGAACCATTTTTCTATAAAAAAACTTATAATGTAATACAAACAATTCTTATACATAATTGCGAGAGAGGGTGTTATTAAGGACATTCTTGCATCAAAGATTATTTTCTGTTTACCATACAATATTTTTAATACAATCTTTTTATTTGCACAGTCTGTCTTTTAATTTTGTTTATTATCCAGAGAGGGGTATTTTGTTAATCGGCAACTAGCTATCTAGAATTATATAATTACAAATTTGACTGCAAAAAGCAAGCACCCCTTTCCTTTTCAGGAAAAGGAAGCGACAGCACCCCGTTGACCGGAAGCTCAACGGTTCTGATGCACCCACGACAGATATCAAAAGTGGCATCCACGATTTGTAAAACGTCAACTCTCATCTCGCAATCATTATTTGCCAAGTGGAAGTAATGCGAGATTCATTGCTCTATAAAAAGGGAGCGTTGTCTGCTTGCCATTTAGAGAGACAAAAGATGGCATTTGGAGTTCGCTTGTGTTTGTGTCTCTTGCTTGTCTTTGCTGTAATATCTTCTGCTCGCAACACCATTTCATTCTCAGGTATGTTTCCTCTGTTATATTTTCATGGAGTATAAATATATCGTATGGGTCATCGTGCAGCGTTTTTTTGTTGAAATCAAAGGTCTAGACTTTTTCTTGACCGATTGCTTGATCGGATGTCCGAAAAACAGGATATGGGCCATTTGACTAGCGAAAATTTCTTTTTCTTTAGCTATGAAAGGCCTTAAAGAATGCAATTTGTAATGCCATTAATTGTGGTGATGCATGTATATATACACGCGCATACACCATTTAGATCAGCCATGGATTGAATTCCAGTTCCTTAGCATGCAGAAAATCTCCAAGACCCTTCCTGTGTTTAAGTTGAACAGAGAAGTTAATCAAGTCCACAGCACCTCGGATTCCAGGAAATTAAGATCATAGGGATGCCCGTTATCACGTCTTAATCTATGGTTAATAACGTCCATATTATTATTGTATTGTGTGCAATAGGCCAGCTAGATTCTGTGTACATGGTCTGCTCTGCATCGATACTTGTCCCTGCTTACTGGCTATTATCAATATATTACCTCACTACTCACAGCACTTTCGTAAGAGACAACATCCTTAATTGTTTCATGACAGACCAAATTGAGGACTCGGGACAAGGAAACAATTATTATTATTATAGCATGTTGATTTGATTTATGCGGATACAAGTTCGAGAAATGAAGAGATTTGTTTTTGGTGAATTTAAACTAGGAGTCTAATATTGTTGACTACTTGATGGTTTCTAAATCATTGATTGTGTTAATATACACGCAGACAATGAAATGGCCCTTGCTGTAAAGGGGAGGTCCTTGAAGATGACACTGAACGATTACGGTGAACCAATGGCAAACCGTGGGCACGATCCTTCACAAAGAAACAAGAACCGGGATGGCCGTAAAGGCTGAGAGATTCCATGGTGTCTTCTTTACTCAGTATTTTGGATTCTAACCTAAATATATAATGAACGGAATAAATAACACAGGCTCACGTTTTGTATTGCAAGGGAGCTGACTCTACCTCTGCCATATTAATATGTATTCTCTAAGGCTTTTCTTCCTCGTTTAATTGTCATCTTTCTTATTTTCAAGATGTTGTCTCGTGTTAAGTAGCTTCAGTGTGATCAAACATTATTTTGAAGATTTAATTTAGATCCTCTCAAGCTATCCATGACATGAAATAATGTCTTCTCTGTGCACCTTTGTGTTATCAAGAAAAAGGGGTTCAAACGTATATCGGACTCTATTTCATTATAATAACCATTATGATTTAAAATATTTTTATTTAGAAATATATTAAAATAATATTTTTTATTTTAAAAAATTATTTTTAATATTAGCTTATTAAAACGATATAAAAACATTAAAAATATATTAATTTAAAATAATTATTTTTTTAAAAACATAAGTTAAACCACATTTCTAATCAAACCTTAAAACTATAAAAACTTATCATTTAAGTATCTCAAGTTCAAATAAAACTTGACCACTTAAGAATTCGAAATAAAATTAGATCACAGATGATAATTTTGTGATTTTTACATTTCAAAATTTTAATTAAAATGATTTGACATAGATTTTTTTTTTTATTACATGGTATCATTATAAAGAATCTAAAATTAAAAATGGTTTTCTTGTAGTTAAGTCTCTGCTGGAGGAAACAAAAACATATCATTTAAGTTTTCTGGCATGAAGATACTTCATTTTATATATAAAAAAAATTTAACTGCTTTTTTGGAATTTTTATGTACTTCTTTACACTCAGGTCCTTACAATTCTAATTTATCATGAAATGATCCTTGAACTTCATTTATATTACAATAGAGTCCCTGAATGCTAAGAAAAGATAAAGAGGAGGGTTTTTTTTGGGTCTTTAAGGTCCATCAGAACATGTTTTAAGGTTCAAAATGAATTTTTACAAATTTTTAGGATGATCTTAGAGTGTTTTAGAAAAAAAAATAATGTAAAAATTAGGTTTCTAAGAGCCAAAGACAACATTCACCATTTTTTATGACAGCAAAATAATATAATCGTTGAAAGCTGCAAACCGTGACATTAAAGTTACAGTGCCAGCGCTTAGGACCGAGGAGCTGGTGAAACTTTCTTCAGGCAGAATTCATGGCAGTTGGCACCATGAATCAGGCGGCAATTGACAAACTCCTACCATTTGTTGCTTTGATACCCTTGAGAAATCTGCGCGATGGCCCGTCGACGCAGTAATTAAGTAATTACTTTAGGCCCAAATCCTACTTTTTTTTGGGTTCATGCCCAAGCCTTCTAATTTATCTTAATCGCCTTCCATTCAATCAATGCTGGGCCTCAGTGAATCTGGACCGACATGAGCCTTTGCTATCTTGATCATAAGTGGGCTCGCGGCAGCATAGGCTTCTTTTAGTGAACAGGTTTAGATTTTTAAGATGAAGCTGCCACTTGGGCCTAACGTAGAAGGCTGCAAACCATGCCAATTTTTTTTAAAAATTCAAAGTTCTGGGTCCGACGCGTCCTGCTTAGGCACTCAGGCCTAGTTATCATCGGGCCGATGCATGCAAGTTTGGCGAACGCCCCCACCCGCTTTTCCCCCCATTATCTATAATTTTTTTATCCGGTCAATATTAATTTTATTTCAATGGTTGTTTTTATTTTTATTTTTTATACAACCCAAAAAATAATCATTTCTGTAAAAAGGAATTATTCTCTATACAACCTTGTAAAAAATTAATGATTAATTATGAAATTGTTAAACAGAAACAGAGGCTTGATAATAAGAAATATTTTAAAAAAATATATATAAGCATTGATCGTAGATTAACATGAAAAAAAATTATTCATATTAATTCCATAATTTTTATTTTTTCCCATTATTTATTATTTGTCAATATCGATTTTTCACAAATATTTAACGATTTTGTTTTTTGCATTTTTCATAAAACCTCACATAAGCAATTATTATTATTATCCAAAACTCATGGTACTGTACACGGTGTTCTCTGCACCAGTTCTTGTCCCATGCTTACTAGCTACCGTCTTATTATATTACTTCACTAAGAACAGCCCTTTCACAAGAGAGAAACAGCGTTTGTATAACGGAGGTAATTGATTGCAAGCAAGAAACACTGGTTCATGTTTAGCACAGAACGCCGCAGATCACCGCTATATATCTCTCGAAGAAGAAAGCAGCTAGGTTATGGAAGAAAACAAAGAATGCCCCAGATCACCTCCCCCCCCAAACAAAAAGAAGAAGAAGAAGAAGAAGAAGTAAGAAACAGCTAGCTAGAAGTATCAATAATCATAATAAAATATTTCTCAAATATTCCGTGAGTTTAGCTTTAACAAGCAATTACAGAAATTTCTACGGCTCTGTTATTAGAAAAATCAATTAGATAGCTATGCCTACACGAATGCTGCACACCATCGATAACTGAGGTCTTAGATACGAAGAGAAGGCATTAACGTAGACGTCTAAGCTAATCAAAGGTAAAGTGCACAAAGCAGACAGGCGTAGCCGGATTTTTTAAATGAGAAGGTAAATTAATGATTATTTTTTTATATACAGACATATACTATATAAAAATCTAATTTAAAATATATATATCAATTCAAGTTAAATAAAATCAATTTAAAAATATTTTAAAAAAAACTTATGTTATAATTATTTTTTTGAGATTTTAAATTTTAAAACTGCTTCGTAATAATTTTATTTTTAATTTATTAAAAATATATTTCTCAATATATACAACAAATTTTTATTTATCTACTTCTAAATCTTTTAAGAACTAGTAAATTTCTTGATAATAATTTTATAATGACATATAGTACATAATATCTAAAATCATAGTTTAAAATGATTATCACAAATCGATGTTGTTCTTAATTTGTTTTGTAGAAATGAATTAAATATAAATATTAAAATTTTTTAATTTATCTATTATATTTTTAATTTTTTAAGTTTTTTAAGTTGTTCTATACTTTATTTTT